TAAGGAAATTACTTTAAAAGTTTTACAAGTGTCCTATCAATTTCGGAGCAATTTAGAAGGGGCGTGGATATACCACAGGTGGTTTTCGGAGTGGGGGACCGTTATTACCCCAGATACGGTTTAAAGTTGATCCGGAGTGGGGGCTCGGTTATGTACCCCAGGTTCGGTGGGCCTGATCAACCCAATGGTTTGTAAGAGTCAGTTTGCCCAACGGATTTCAGCAATGAAAGACTGGTATCTGGCCGTCTATTTATGCTGGTGGTGCGTATGGTAAAACGGAAAACAAAACATTCTTTGATTTGGCATGAAGATTTAATAAACTCATTCAGGCTGCGGCAAATCCAATATATCGATTAATGATGTTTTGATTGTACATGTATTCGTGTCTGAGTGTAATGAATCATGGCATAAGTAAATATTAAACATAATTAATGATTAAATAATACTAAAATCTATTTTCTGTTGCTTTTGTGTTGAAAGTTAAGTAAAAAAACCCAATATTTGAAAAACTGTATGGTACTTAATATGCTAAGTTTAATCAACACGAAAGATCAGTAAAACCAACGACATTAAAAATTGAGTAAATAATTATTAAACTATTTGGTTAATACCTACCCACATATAGCTTACGTTTTCGCACTTGAACAAAATAAGCACAAATTACTTAAATCCATAAACTTTTAGGTTAACATGAAGAATTTGAGTCCTAAAAAACGCCAAAAAGTAAGTAAGACCGATATCAACAAATTGTCATTATTTAGTTTGCATGGCTCAAATTTTTATTCTGACTCAATTTCTATTAACTTAGCCAAAATAATGATTAAACAATAATAAAAACCTCGTTTCTGTTGTTTTTTTGAAACTTAAGTGTAAAAGATATAAAATCCTTTAAATTGAGTTGAACTTAAGTTGTTTCATTCACAAGATATAGAAGTAAAAGCAACCGCATTTAAAAATGAGTAACTAATAAATAAACAATAATGGTTAATACAAACTCAAATAAAGATTCGTTGTTCGCACTAAAGTAAATCAAGTAAAAGGTACTAAAATCCATAAACTGGCAGATTAGCATTAAACATTTCAGTCCTAAAATACGACAAAAATAGTTAAAACCGATATCAATTAAATTTCCTAATTAAGTTGGTATTCCTAAAATGATTATCCTTATTTAAGTAACTATTAAAGCAAATGAGTGATTAAATAATACTAAAATATCCTTTAGTTGCGTTTACGTTGATATCCAAGTTAAAAAAACGCGACATGCTCAATATTGAATTGAACTTAATTTGTTAAGTTTTATCAACACGATAAGGAGTAAAAGCAAAAGAGTTTAAAATGGGGTTAATAATACATAAATATTTACTTAATATGTACTCGAATAAAGCTTCGTTGTTTGCACTAAAATATATTTAGTGCAACATTCTTACGTGAAACATGTCTAAATTACCGTGAAGAATGAACCAAAATAATTAAGTCCTGTATCAATAAAGTGGCTTAATTAATAGGTTTCAATGAAACGCTCATCCTGCCTTAATAATACTCGCCGCTGTTATGGTGAAAACAGCAAACTGAAATGAGTTTTCTTATGGGATATTGGTTAGGCCCCCTATACGCAAAATCATTTATTTGTTTACTTTTTTTTACCAGTTCCGAGGATATTTGGAATATGGAAACTCAATTTTAAACCTCGCAAATGTTAACAAATAAATAAGATAACATGTCATTGCAACACGAAAATCTGGGATAATCATAAATTAGTGGTTACATATTCCCTGCATATAGTATTCCTTGTATATTGCATTATATGCCCTGGAATACCGTGTTCCATTCCATTCAGCTGGCAGTTGTTATTGTATCAGGCAAATGCACAACATGGCTTCTTCGATAGAAATGTCAACTTTGGTCGAAATGCGTGTTGATGAAGTAGAGCCAAACACCAGGCCGTCTCCAGTGTTTAGGCCTAGGCTTAGGCCCAGACCTAGACCTAGGAATAGGCCTTCTGGGCTGTTACCCGACATGACTAACAGGCCAGAACGACAACCTGTGATTGAATTGGCAAGGTCGGCCGTTTGGACAGACATAGCTGGGCAAGTATACAAAAGCAAGCAGAGAATCAAAATGCTGTTTGCAGTAACCGTAGCTGTGTTTGACTTCGCATGTTTAGTTGCCGGTTACTTACTGTATCATACATGGAAATGTAACTGAATCGATTTTATACTCATTTTACTTTTTATTTATTGATTGATACTTTTTTAATTCGTTCTCATCGTGGCCCACAGGCCAAACTTAAAGAATGTTACAACATTACAAACACTTAGAATGCATACAATTGGAATTCAAATAACCCAAAATAAGTTATGGTCCAGCCATTAAAATAAAATACTAAAAATTCATTACACAAAAGGCTCTAATGAAGGAATATTGTCACAACCACAAGTTACCAATATAACCTTGACGTGGACATAACTGAATTAATATTAATGGCACGTGTGCAAACGCTTAATTTTGTTAATGATGTAACGTTTACTTATCCAGATTTGCGTATAAATAAACTCTTAAAACAAATGAATGCAACTTAACGTCAATTTGTTTTGTCGAGTCCAAACTAAATATTCCATTAAATTACGTTGCAATTAAGAATTGTTGTGTGCATGAACGCCTGAACAAAAGTAAATTGGGTTGAATTTATTATGGCTTTTGCTTAAATACAAACTGTAACCTCCCAAGATTACAGGAATACCAATACGCTCAGTTTGAAACTCATGCTTGGATTGCTATCACAAGGTTTAATTCACAATTCACAGTGGTGTCTCTAGTAGCAAGTAACATGTACAGTAGGATGTGGCAAACAATCAGGTTGCAAGTAGTAGTAAGCAAGTAGCAAGCAAGCAAGGTTCAACTATAAGTATAAAGAAAAACAAAACTTATTTTGAGTCAAGTATTATATAAATCTATCAATGGTAAGTATAAATAACAAACACTTTTCATCCTCCAATGTCTTTCATTTTTACAAAGGGGCTCAATGACAAACAAGGAGTGGCTCACATGGTTCAATTTGACTGGCTAAATAATCCAAATTTACACACAAATTTCCTTTTAAATTATGAAATTAAATCTCTAATCACAATCATAAATAAGTAAATAAATGTCTGTAAACTTACTTTTGCTGAGCTTCCAAAGGGATGTCACATAAATGGCAAATTACAGAGTGTTGTCAGAGCATGTCTGCATACATGTAGGTGTCTGCATAGGTGTGCACATGTACATACACATGTACATGTGGTCATGCATTTCCAAGGAGCTCACCACACCCAATCAAAGAGCGCCCTCACGCAACAAAAATGCAAGAGCTTTTATGCATAATTATGCAAATAAGGAAAGTTTGCTAGACTTGTTTACAAGTGTCAAATTCTGTCTGTTACATTCCGGCCCCTAATGCTCTTGTAATATCAAGACATTATCTAAACATAAAGGCAGAATTTAAACTTAAAGTGTCATCCAAAATTCATTACAAAACCCACCACCAATTATAATAATTACAGTCCACCGACACTCATCAGGGTGTGTCAGTTAATAGCAAATCTGTATATGCTCACGCTGATCTCACATGTCCATCACATGAAAACTTCTGCGTTGATCGGCTGACCCTCAGTCTGCATCAAGAAGTATCGTTCTCTTGGACCATCATGTCTCCCTCCAAGAGACACAGTTTGTCGATTGGACGAAGATACACTCCAGTATGTGTTTTCACCTGCACAGATCTCACATTTTCCATCCCTGCCTGGGTAAGTTGTCACCACAAGTCCCATGGGCCACTGGTATCGAGGTGCGTTCTCGCTCCTAATCAACACAAGATCTCCCACACTGACATTACGCTTTGGGTTGATCCATTTCTGCCGTTCTTGCAATGACGGCAGATATTCTCTGAGCCATCGTTTCCAGAAGACGTCGGCAAGATATTGTACTTGGTGCGATCTTCGTCTGTGGACATCCTGCTCTACAAACTGTCCTGGACGCAGCTTGGGTCCGGAGCGGAGGAGCAGCAGGTGAATTGGTGTAAAAGGAGCAGGATCCCGTGTGTCATCGGAGAGTCGAGTAATTGGTCTCCCGTTGACAATTGCCTCAACAGTACACATCAGTGTCAGGAGTCCTTCGTCAGTAAGTACTTGTTGACGGAGTAAACTGCTCAATACAGAACCAACTGTTCGGATCTGGCGCTACCACGCCACCAAAGTGAGATGCTGCACGCGGATTGAACACCAAACGTATCTCTTTTTGAAGTAGACAGTCATGAATTTTATCCTGATTCCATTCCTGGATCGCTTGTTGTAATTCACGGTTCCCTCCAACACAGTTGGTACCATTATCAGACCTCACTTCAATAGGACGACCACAGCGAGATATGAAACGCTGCAATGCATTGATGAAAGAGTCCGTGTCTAACGTGTGACAAATCTCAAGATGAACTGCTCGTGTAGACAGACATGTAAACAAACAGCCATAACGCTTCACTTGGCTTCTGGCACGCTTCACCATAAATGGGCCAAAAATGTCAACCCCTACCAAGCTGAATGGCGCAAGCCCAGATGTTACACGATCTGTTGGCAAGTCGGACATACGCTGAATCAAGGTAGGTGCTTTTCTCTTTCTGCATTGAATGCACTTGTGGATCACTTGCTTCACAGCTGAACGACCCTTTACGACCCAGAACTGTTGACGGATTTCTGCAAGTGTGCGCTCTGTTCCAGAATGCCCCGTAGCTTCCTGATAATGCCTCACGATTAGTGTTACAGCAGGATGCCGCTTGGGTCTTAGAATCCAGGGATGTTTGACATCATCAGCAAGATCGGCATTGCCTAGTCTTTCACTAACTTGCACAATATCCTCATTTGTCGTATACGGTGACAACTTCCGAAAGGAATGTGACTTCAGAGTAACATCATCACAACTGATGTGCTGGACATGACGTATTATGGCTTTCTCTGAAGAAGATACTTCATCTACCGTGAGTGGCTGAGATGGCTCTGAAACTGAATTTCCTTTCCCAATCCGGTGAAGGAGAATTGCCTTTGCACGAAGTATCCAAGCGACCGCTTTCCGCAATCGATAGCTGTTAAACCTCTCGAGACATCATCAGCCGGGTTAGACATGGAGTCAACATATCTCCACTGCGATGCCTTGGAGAGCTCCAGTATCCTGGAAATGCGATTGGTCACGAAGGTCTGGTAGCGTTTGTCCTCGTTCCTGAGGTAGTGAAGCACAATCATACTGTCGCTCCAGAAAACACTTTCTTGCAGAGGCAACAACAACTCTCTTCGAATCATTTCGTCTAGTTTGACGGAGACAACACCAGCAGCAAGTTCCAGACGTGGAATGGTGGTTTTCTTCAGAGGTGCTAACTTGGCCTTGGCCATTAGCAGGCAAGAGCTAACTCTTTCATCAACATCCTGTAGCCGCAGGTAAGTCACCGCGCCATATCCCCTCTCTGAGGCGTTACAGAAATGATGTAGCTGAACTGTAGTGCTAGTACCAAACCCTTGTGGTTTGATGCAACGGGGTACTGATAGACTCTTCAGCTGAGGTAAGTCTGCCAACCATCTCTCCAACTGCCTACCGATCTCATCCGGTATTGAATCATCCCAACCAATTTTTCGTCTACAAATCTCCTGAAACAGCATCTTGGCGGTAAGTATGAAAGGACTAGCAAAACCCAAATGGATCATACACCGAGCTGACAATACTTAGCAGTCCTCGGCGTGTCAGCGGTTTGCTGCTCACATGAACATCAAATGTGAAGACGTCACTCTCTACATCCCAAAGACCACCCAAGGCTCGTTCGGTAGGTAAGAGCTCCCTGTCCAAATCCAGAGAAAGAACTGTCTTTGCTCTCTCAGATGGTGGAATTGTCTGCAGGACTTCACGAGAGTTGCTAATCCACTTTCGGAGTTTGAAGCCTCCAAGAACCAACATACTACACAACTAGACCATTTGAAATTTTTACTTGAAAGGAGCCCTTAGGCCTACGGCCAAATGTTGCCGATAAACAAAGTTGAAACCTGACACCCCTGTTGTCTGATGAGTACGACGCACATGCCATGGCCATCGTCGGGTCCGCGAGATATCGATTTGGGCGTTGAGCAGCTTCGGGGTGCTTTCAGTTTCAGCCTTTCATTCCTATTTCTTTGATAATTCCCAGAGAATGAACCACCAGTCTTACTGAAATTCATGGTGAGTAAGTCTGTTCTTTATAAGTAATGAGACACGCAACATTACAATGACGCATGATCGACTAAACGTAGGCCTAGCGGCTTAGCCTATGCATGTGTGGCACTGGCCCAGTCGACTGCGTAGCCTAACAAGTAACAAGTTAGGCCTAGCCTCAGTTGTGCATCTAGATTAATTTGTGATATTCAGAAAAATGTATTTCAGAAAATTAGACACATGTTGTCAGAAATTTTTGCCACAAACATTTATCAAAAGTTGTATATTTCGTATTTTGTGCAATTTCAAACTCATTCAGTATTTATTGAATTGAAAAATGGGTAACTATGTACATTTATATTTTCCTAAGGATGTTTTGTCAGCCAATATGGTGCAGAATATTACAGAACCTTTCACCCTAGAGAATTTTATTTATTTGAAGGATAGTTAACTCCACTCTGCCTGTTACTTTTCTCATAGATTCAACTGTCATAACCATGGCAGATATACGTTCGATGTTCTCATCTATGAGAAAACGTCAAGGTGAAACAAGACCTGCGAGTGAAGGCGACCCATCCAAAAGGGCTTGCACAGGTGGTGGTGACGAGGGAAATCTACCAGGCACGTCATTCGAAATATAGGATACTAGTTTGCCGGTAGCTGATGACAGTGGTTCCAGCAATGACGAATGTGACTCAGTAGAGTTGCAGGTCCAGCAAATGGAATTCAATTCAATTCAATTCAAGAAAACATTTATTTCATACTCCTTCAGAGAATACATCCATCAATAAATAAGAAATTTGGTAAATAACAAGTTAACAAAATCAGTAAATATGTCTCAAAAAAGAAAATTAATACCAGTAAGATACGCTATGAAGAAATGTTAAACTTATATCGATTTATGTACAAAAGAAACTAAGGAGTATGGGGCTGTTTAAGTAAGCCGAGGCTTGTAGGAAACAACCCTTACAGACAACAATAACAACAGAAAAACAACATGATAACAACACATGGACGAGATAGACAAGACAAAAGACTTACACGACGATAGCTAGCGGCAAACCCCCCCCCCCCCAAAAAAAATACGAACAAAAATTACCAATTCAAAAACCGATGACGACTTCAAACGTGAATAAACAAGGAGAGAAATAAAGGAGAGATATAAAGGAGAGAAATAAAACTGTTACATAATGGGAGAGGAGGACTCGTTTATAAGAGATCTTAAATCGACCCACGGACGACTCCGTTCTTATGTCATTGGGGATGGCATTCCATAAACGAGGACCGTAAAACCGAAGGGTGTTGATAGAATACAAGGTGCGAGTGAAGGGAACAAACAGATTATTGCGGGATCTTGTTGAATAATCATGAATTTCATGAACTGAGGTGAAGTATGAGGAGAATGTGCGAGGGAGAAGATTGTTAGTAAATTTGTATATAAAGATCCCAGTGTGCAATTTGTTGATGTCTGTAAGAGTGAGGGTGCGTAGATGTGCAAAGATAGGTGCAGAGTGGTCCCGAGGATGCGATAGAGTGCAAATGCAAATGGCCCTTTTTTTGTGCAACAGCCAAAGCGTTCAGTTTATTATTGCTGGTACGCGCTCAGATTATATTACCGTAATTTAGATACGGGAGAATAAGAATGTTATAAAGTAAGATCAGAGAGGTGGCTGGAAGAAAGAAACGAAGTTTAGAAAGAACACCGGTGTTTCGAGAGATGATTTTGGTGATTGAAGAAATGTGTTCGGTCCAGGAAAGGTTTTGATCGATGATGACACCCAGAAACTTGGCTGAAGAGACCCTGTTGAGACAAGTTGATATCATGAGGACGAACCGACTTGCTGAAAAAAATATAATTTGTTTTACTATGGTTCAAAGAAAGTCTATTGGCTTTAAACCACGAAGACATCAACTTGAGTTAAGAGTTGAGAGTGTTTATCAAAGAGGTAACATCAGAGCTAGAATAGAATATGGTTGTATCGTCGGCGAAAAGAGTGAAGTTAAAAAGAGATGAAGAATTGTGAAGATCATTAATATAAAGCAGAAAAATAAGGGGCCCAAGGATAGAGCCTTGGGGGACACCATGCTGGATGTTAAGACGACCGAAATCATAGTTCATTATAGAAGTATATTGGGACCTGTTAGAGAGATAGTCGGCAAACCATTGGTGTGGAAGAAACCTTAGCACCAGATGGTAAATATTAGCTTATTTGTTTACTTTACTTGAGTGCTCCTGCATACTGGCTGCATTCTGCTTCTTCATCACACTCCCAGTTTGAGGATATTTTTTGAATTTCAAAATTGAGAAATTTGACAGAGTCCCGACAAGTATAACCACTTAGACAAGCACAATAATGGGTAGTAGCAAATGTATAATATAATATTTAATATTTTGCTCTTTGGAATTGACACTTTCTTGCTGCATCACCACAACTAACAACTTTACGATATTGCTGTCATGACTCTCTCTCTGTTTTTTGGGGTTTTTTTTGCTTTATAGTGAGCCATAAGCCACCTGGTCCAGATGACATCTCCCAGTATCCATCAGATGGACCAAAACAGCCGAACATAACCTTCCCTGTTAAGAAGCAGGACTGCAATCGGTCCTTCAGGTCACCCTGGTACAAGATGCATCCTTGGCTGGAGTACTCGGAGTTCAGTGCGACGCAGTCTTCTGCTTTGCTTGTAGACACTTCTTGGCTCAGACAGCACGTGCTGAAGAGACGTTCACTAGCACTGGATTCTCCAACTGGAAGAAGGCACTTGGGAAGAAAGGGAAGATCTCCAAACATGTTGTAGCTGACTATCATGTCAATGCCATTGTTGCATGGGCTTCCTTCAAAGAGAGTGAGAAGGTGAGTTTTACCCTATGTATAATATTAGGTTTTTCTCAACAGCTTTTCCTTTTAAAATTGTGTTCCCCTGTGTGCTGGGGGTGGTGGAATATGGCTGCAACCACCATTATGCACTTATCATTTGCAACCCCAAACCCCCTAGACCCGGGGATAGGCGGGGCTTGGCGGGGGACTTCACTTTTGAATATGGTAAATCACCGGCCAGAGCCCGACTATGCCAGGGTCTATGCGGGGGGCCGGGGTTGATAAGTGCATAATTGATAAGTGCATAAGTCTGCACACTTGCAAGACCTTCTGCAGCTCTGCCTAATTTAATACTTTCATGCGAATAAATCATATGGGTTATTCACTCCTGCACACTTTTTTTTTATCTCCTTTTCCATTTAGATTGGCTCTATTCTTAAACAACAGAGCGAGTCCTACAAGAAGGAGATTCTGGAGAACCGCCACTTTATAAAGACGGTTGGCGAGGTGCTTCTTGTGACAGGAACTCAGAATATCGCTCAGCGAGGCCATCGTGAAGATGATGGGTCAGACAATGCTGGCAACCTCAGGAGAATACTGTCTTTGGTGAGTGGTCATGACAAGGTGGTTAAAAAACGCCTTGAAGGAGGACCTCTCAATGCGAAATACACTAGTCCAGAGATCCAGAACGAAATGCTAAAAACTCTAGCTCAAATGGTCCGTGAGCAGATACTGAAGGAGATTCATGCTTCTGAACAATTCGCCATCTTGGTGGACGAGACTAAAGATGTCAGAAAGACTGAGCAGCTCGCACTCGTCGTGAGATATCACCATCAGGTGCAGATCACAGAGAGCTACCTGTGCTTCAAGAATGCTGATGGTCTCGATGCCGATGAAGTCATTGGGCTTGTTAGTGGCTATGGACTGGACTATAGGGTTAATTTAGTTAGACAGGGTTACGATGGGGCTGCAGTAATGAGTGGAGCTGTATCAGGTGTGGCAACGAGGATACAAGAGGTAGCTTCTTCGGCCGTCTATGTGCATTGCTATGCACATCGATTTAATCTAGTCATCGTTGATGCCTGCAAGACGGTCAAGGAAGCTGCTAGCTTCTTCGCCCTGCTTCAACAACTGTACGTCTTTGTGTCTGGGTCCAACGTTCACCAGAGATGGCTCAAAATACAGGCAGCGATGTTCCCTGGAGAGCAGCCTCGCGACCTAAAGAGACTTAGCGACACCCGATGGGCATGCAGAGCTGATGCCTGTGTCGTTGTGAAGACACGGCTAAAAGCGATTCTCCGGTTGCTAAATCGCATCTCTGAGGATGACGATGGAGAGCGTGCTGTCGAAGCTACAGGTTTCCTTGCACAAATGGATGAGCGGTTTGCGGCACGACTTGTGTTGATGAGCACACTACTGCAGAAGTCCAAATCGTTGTCCACCATGCTGCAGCAAGATGATGTGGACCTGTCTGCAGCTAGCAACTTAGCTGCAGTCATCATTGATGAGCTCCAGGACATGCGGTCCAATGACGACAACTTCTGTGAGATCTGGCAGAAGGTGGATGGAGTCGTAAATGATTGTCGGGATGACCTCGCGCCCACCAGACGGAGACGAGCTCCTCGACCTTCAACACGCTTGAAAGGCTACCATGTGCTGGAAGCCACTGGTCAGCAGGAGCAGGCAACCCCTGAAGTGGACTTCAAAATTAACTTCATGTTCCCAGAAATGAGACGGAGGTTTAGCGACCAAAACTGCAGGCTGATGAAGGGTATAGATGCCCTGACACCATCCAGTGAAAACTTTCTGTCCCCTGAGAACCTGAAGGCTCTACAGGAAACATATGGGGCAGATCAGGAAGACCTGAGGCATGAGCTCCATCAAGTTAAGAGGCTGATAGAGAGAAAGGCCTCTAAAGAAGAAGCAGTTCCAAAGAGCATGCAGGGTCTTGTCAATTTCTTGGAGCCCTACCAGAATGCCTTTTTTGAGCTATATCGACTTTCGAAAATCGCAGCGATCATTCCAGTTACGTCAGCCTCATGTGAGAGAAGCTTCTCCGCAATGAAGCTAATCAAGACATATCTTAGGAACTCCATGGGGAATGAACGCCTGGGCGACCTTGGCATGTTGTACATTGAGAGGAGGCGCACTGAAAAGCTGAACATGGATGAGTTCGTTGACAAGTTTGCAACATCCCATAAGAACAGAAGGATCAAACTTGTGTAGACACCACATTGACTTCTGTGGTTAGTTAGAACTAGTTGCTTTTAATGCAAGGGAGTGCATGTGCTGTTTTGCGTACAATTAGGTATTTAAGGTATTGTTATTATTATTGAACAAAGCTCCCCCTCACAATGTTGGTGTCTAGTCCGAAAATTAGCATGAATAAAACATTCACAGGTGGGGGGGGGGGGGGGGGATGGGGGTATCTGTAGATCAAATTTTCCTGGTCGTATGGTCATGCAAATCGTTGTCTACAGTCGTTTGGCAAAACGCCAGCTTAAGTGTCCCAACAACCTTGTCCAACATTGAGAGCGCAAGCCCAGCAATTTACAGCCCCACCGGGTAACTCTTAAAGAATTAACAGGTCATCTGTGTACAAAAACCCCAGGTCATGTGTGTACAAGAACCCCTAAGCTCCGCTCAGATAGTAACATGACGCCCCCCCCCCATGAAATGTTCCAGCCCCCCCCCCCCCCCCCCCCCACTGAAAAATTCCTGGCTACGCCACTGGGTGAAGTGCCCCTGGTGTCCATACTCGGCGTGTGTTCCTACCAGGTGGACCCGGCACATTGCTCGGCAGCACCCAGACAGGGCTCTGCGGAAACAGGCCGAGTTCTACAAGAAATATATGTAAATTAACTTTTTAAATTTTAATGAATTTTCTCCAGGTGTTTATATTAAATGATCTCCATTTTAACATTAAATTTTAATGGTATGCCTGATTTTAATAAACGTCAGCAAATTTTTAATTTTTGTCAAATTACGATATATGATTTTTACAGGAATGCCACATTACGTGCCCCTCTGATCTCCATCTTTGGAAAACAGAGTGGAGAGGGGAATTTTTTTTTTGCCAGCTATGGCACATCCTCTTCTTGCGGCACTGTTATTATTTCTAATCCACGTGCTTCTTGTAAATTGTCCGAATTTCCTTTTTTTGCCGGTATTAGCAGTTTATATCATGAAGTTTAACATGACGAAGTTAAAATTGCTGAAATCATCTAAAATAAGCAAATTTTACTAATGATTTTCAAGAAATTGGTCAATTCTGGTGTTTTTAGTTACCACGAAGTGACACTGCACAGGTTGTCAGTTCGTAAAAACAAAAGTTTCCTTTTTTCGGTGAGTGCGCGCATGCAATAGCGTTAGGGAGTGTCAGTTCGTGAAAACGAAAATTGACGTGTGTGCACGCATGCGCAGTGTGTGCGCGCACTCTCCCAAAACACATGATTTTTTGTTTTCACGAACTGACACCCGTCTTAATCATTTAACTGCTGATTAACTAAGCATATGTTCACAATATAACGTTTATAATTGAGCAGTTAAAGCATTTTCACGTTAAGTGGTACTAAAACCTCTAAGATAGACGGATTCTTTTACTGAGTAAATTCGTATCAAACCTTTAAAAGCGTTTTTCTCCTATTTGTATTTCTGCAACGCTGACCACCGGGTTTCAGTTCGTGGTGTCGGTGACGATTTGCCTGTTTATTTCTCAGATCATGATGTAGTCGTTTTTAATATGAATCCTTCTCCTCTTCCAGAAAGAGAAAGGGGTACTGGAAATGTAATACTTCTACTTCAACCGATCCCCCTTTTCAAACAGATTTTAAGAGAGCATATACAGGGTGGAGAACTCTAAAAGAAGGTTTTGACAACGAGTTAGATTGGTGGGAAGAAGTGAAGCTTCGCAGCAAAAAAATTGCTAATAATAGTCCATTCCTGCCGTGTTTCACGCAATAGAAAGAAAAAGAAAGTTCGTCTTCTTGCTTCCTTGGAACGGGTTACCACCCTTCTTAACCAAAGGAACAAAGACAAAAACATTCTTGCCGAGTATAACCAGATTAAGCTTCAACTTTCTGAGTTAGATAACTTTCTAGCTAAAGGAGCGAGAGTGCGATCTCGTATTTGAAGGAGAGCTCCCCTCTAGCAATTTGTTTCGTACTCAATTTAATCATAAGAAAGCTTCTTCCATCCCCACAGTTGAACGCCCTGACGGGTCTGTTTCATCTTCACCTTTAGAAATTGTTAATAGTTATACAGATTTTTATGCATCTAGTCTTCAGCAGACCACACTATTGATAGCTTTAAATCTTTCTTTTTAGATCAGATTACGAGCACTCTTACAGAAGGAGAACATTATTAATTTGGAGGTTCCTCTCGCTACTAATGAACTTGATGCAGCTTTACAGGACATGCCAAACAGCAAACGCCCTGGTAGCGATGGATTACCGACGGAATTTTATTCCACCTTTTGGGACCTTATTTGTCCTTATCTGCTAAGTGTTTTTAACAATTTTAAATTCACAGAGGACCGACAGGGGAGTCAGGTTGGCGTAGCAGTACTTTCCTCACCTTCCGCCGCTGTGACCCGGGATCGAATCCCGCCTGGGCCAATATGTGGATTTGGTTTTCAGTCCCTACCTGATTTTCCCTAGATTATTGGTCTGGGCTCTTCCTCCCGCCTCTAAAACTGTACCTTCTTCTAATTGTCTTCTCTCCACAGGTTTCTTCAGGCTTGCGAGCTACAGTGCCTAAAGCGCTTTTGAGGAATCCTTGGTTTCTACCAGAAATGATTAATAATAATAATAATAATAATAATAGAATGATAATAATTACCTTGTTGGATAAGTCCAGTGTCCCTACTTTGCCTCATAACAAAAGGCCTAATTCATTGTTAAATGGGGATTTAAAATTCTTGCCAAAACGCTTTGTAACCGTCCTTTTTCTGTTTTATACACGATTATTAGTCCTTTTCAGACCTGCGGAGTCAAAGGGAGATTCATACAGTATAACGCCTGACTCATGCGGGATCTCATTTTTTTATGCAGAGGAGAGAAGTTCTGGTTTCATCAGCAAAAAGCTTATGATCGAGTGAATTGGCCTTTTCTGTACAAAGTTCTGCACCAATTTTGTTTTGGGCGTAACTTTATTAAGTGGCTCAAAATCGTATATACAGACTTTTTAGCCAAGTTATTGCCAACGGTTTTCTTTCTAATCTGTTGTCTTTACATAAAGGTGTCAGACAGGGATGTCCCCTGTCACCTCTTCTTTAATGTTTTTTTTTTATTGAGCTTTTTTTTTTATTGAGCCTTCAATAAATGGACGATAGTCCTTGTATCGTTCGAAACAGGCCACATATGTAGAAAGTTCTTTCTGAATTTGCAACTTTAAAGGTTGGAGTTCCACAGGGATCAATTCTTGGTCCCTTCCTTTTAATAATTTGCATCAACAGTCTCCCTACAGCCATATCCCATCCTGGATGCAAAGTAAGTATGTATGCAGCAGACACTATGATAATGTTTAATGGAACTTCGCCTGATGCCTTAAACAAAGATATGCTTACTGTTCTCCACCAGGTAACTAATTAGTTAATAGAAAATAAGCTTACGCTGAACGTCAACAAAACTAAGTTCATGGTATTTGGAACACGTCCTCGAATGCTTAACTTTATTAATGTTCAGATCTTACTGAAAGGTGATGTAATTGAGCGCATTAAGGTGTACAATTATCTTGATGTTTTTCTGGACGAACACCTACCGCGGGCTAACCATATTGACCACACGGCCAAAAAGATCTCTCAGACGTTCTGCCAAGCCTTGCCTTTCTCAACTCACTTTAAGTGCCATGAGCTTGCCTGTATTTGATTTTTGTGATGTTGTTTGGTCTAGCTGCATCCAACTTTCTAACTTTAATTCTCCTATTTAATCCCTTCATCCTCCGAAATAACATCTACAACCATAATATACTCCGTAATCACATCCCCTATACCCGTAATCACATCCCCCATAATCATCCCTCCCTCTCTGTCCTTTCTAATTACATGTTTGGTCTAGCTGCTCAAATTGTCTGTTGTTCCCAAGACTAAAGCAGCCAAGCGTTCTTTTCAGTATCGTTGGACCCTAGGATGGCAGAAGCTAACTGCTTTTCAAAGAAAGGCAAATACTCTGTCCTAGTTTGAGTATCTGTGCTATTACCCAGGTAGCAAGCCCATATGGGTGGCATATGGGTGGCATATGGGCCCCATCGGGGCCAAGATATGGGTACCATATGGGAGGACCCATATGGGCCCCAGATAATTTTGCACCCAAGATTCTTATGGGACCCATATGGGCCAGCCCAGATAAACCCATATGGGTTATGTCTGGGGCCCATCTGGGCAAACATCTGGGTAAAATATGGGGAAGCTTTAATGGGTCCCATCTGGGCCAAGATATTGGTCCCATATGGGCGGACCCATATGGGCCCCAGATAATTTTGCACCCAAGATCCTTATGGACCCTTATGGGACAGCCCAGATTATCCACATGGGTTAGCTGTGGGGCCCATCTGGGTAAAATATGGGTTGTCCAAAATATATTAATCCTAATCTTAATCCTGAATCTTACCTTATTACATTCTCATCCACCATAAATGTCCAAATCACATTATATTTCCATTAAATCACTTGCATACCCTAGTCACATTCCTCGCTAATACATCTCACAATGCTCCATCCAACTTTCCTTCTCCTAATTGATCCCTAAATCCTCCCAAATAACATCTACAACCATAATATACCCCGTAATCACATCCCCCATAATCATCCCTCCCTCTCTGTCCTTTCTAATTACATGTTTGGTCTAGCTGCTCAAATTGTCTTTTGTTCCCAAGACTTAAGCGGCCAAGCGTTTTTTTTTTCAATATTGTTGGACCCTGGGATGGCAGAAGCTAACTGCTTCTCAAAGAAAGGCAAATACACTGTCCTAGTTAGAATATCTGTGCTATTATAATACTGTGTTTTGATATTTAAGACTTGCTTTTTCATTTACTTAAAATGTGCACGATATACGATCAACTTCGTGTGATGTGCCTAACTGTTATATTTTAATGAAGTCCTGTTTTATTCGTGTTTTTACTTTACTTCCTTGAATCGTGGGACAATTTGGTTTTCCAGTGGATGTGTTTTCTATTGGTCATATTATTTTTTGATTTTAAAAGTGGTGGTATTTTATATTGGTCATATT